GAAAGGCTGAGTGTCGGCGGCCTTAGTATTGCGCACGAAGTGGTCGTAAACCGTAGAGAATCGGATGCCTTCAGTTGGGCTGACATCGGGTTCGTTGGCCTCCGAGTGTTGGCTGTATTGCGGGAACACATCTCCGAACCAATAGCTGACACAACGCGAGAACAGCTTTGAAATCGTTGAAAAGATTTGCATTTTTGAACACAATTTGTGATAATTTTCTTTACGAGTTTGGAAACGATGTGAATAGCAGTGGAACTTGAAATCAAGTGAAAGTTTTTGGTTTGAAATACTTTTTAACTATTGTTTGAAATTATTTAAAAACTTTTTATTTAGTTTTTTCTAGAAATTGGAAATAATAATTAGTAATAATATAATTAAAACTGTATTTAATTGTTGTTAATATAAATTCAGTTTTTTTTATTTAAACTCAAATAAGTTATGTAGAAATCCAACAAACAGTTGTAGCAATGGTTGTGAGCCATCAAATCACTGATCATATGCGAGACGTGTTGGCCATTAAGACAGCGCACAAACGCCGCCATTGGATGTGTTTGAGTGATGTCTGAGTAAAGAGACGATTACAAAGAGTTTCTCCTTTTTGTTGACAACAAATGATAGAAAAATGTGAACATTTGTGAAAAATTTTGTTAACTTTTTGAAACTTATTAACTATTTTGAACCAAAAATATCGCTAAAATTAGACATAAGTTATGTGAATGAATCATTACATTAATGTAAAAGCAATTATTTATTCAATAAAATAAGTTAATTAACAAAACGTTTGACAAACTATTTAACCATTATTATCAAAATATGTGATCACTTTTGATGCACTTGTTTGTAGTGTATGTTTACATTACTCTTATGACTGCACCGGTATTGACATCCGGGCCAATGACAGGCATAGGGTTTGACATTGTTGTGGACATTCTTGTGATCTCTCAAATAGTCGGGTCGAGTGAACCGTTTGCCACATTCGGGCCAATCGCAGACATACGGCCGCTCACCCGTGTGTGTCCTTTGGTGTCGCTTTAGTCTACAATTATCACCCATAAAGTCACAGCCCGGCCAAAGACACTGAACCGGTACACCTATACTGCGCTTTCGTGGCATAGAGTGGACACTCGCCCGGTGTTTGTCCACCTCGTGGTGCGAATAAAACCTTTGAGCGCATCCCTCGACAGTGCACTTAATGGTCGGTTCACTCAAATGGATCCGTTTGTGAGTCTCAAGAGTGTGTGGATTCATATAAACCTTTTGACAGCCAATGAAATCGCAGGCAAATCGGCGATCAGTTTCGTGGCGAACCAAATGTGCCCTCAAATCGTTATTATTTACAAACCGTTGTCCGCACTCTTCGTGCGGACACACGAACGGCTTGTCGTCGGTGTGAAAAATGCGGAAATGCTTTTGCATTGTTCCTAACATTTTGAACTTTTTGCCGCAATCAGGAAAATCACAGACAATGTCCGCACTCTTGTGGACACTAAACAAATGCGCTCTTATCTGATGGTAAGTATTGCATGTCTTTTGGCAACCAATTTGGTCACAGATCCACGTATTACTAGTCGAGTCATAGCACCTGTCTTTAAGCTCCTGACGCTGTTGTCGATCCAATGCATACTTCCACGGGTCATGTCTTCGCATATGTGCCTCCAGTGCTCCGCCCGTTAAACACCGTTTGCCACACACTTTGCATTCAAATGGCTTTGAGATTA